GGTGGTTTATTCCTGTTCTGTGGAGAAGATCAATGGTAGCTTGATGGGGATAATCAAGCTAATTTATAGACCCAGTGAGAGCTTGGCTACTTCTTATTTATTGTTTTAATTTAATTTTTACAATATCCTCTTGAATTAGGCATTGTTATACTTGCTTTAGACCTGAGGGAGTAAATCATTTACCCAAAGTCTCACAATAGTAACATTTTGCTATTGCGTGTTAATTAACTTGATTTAGTAGTTCTACAATGCATACATATATCAATATGTACAATATTTATGTTATTGTTAATTACAATACACACTTTTGTGGTAAGAACATTTAAAACTACTCTCTTAGCTATTTTCAAGCTTCAATTCTCAAAGCAGTTTTTCTTTATGTCAAAGTTAAATATACTGTACGACTGAACACGTATCCCAGGGAATATTTAGAAGGCAGGTGATTAAACTGAAGAACACCTGGTGCTTAATGTTCTGCCACAGAGTAGAATGGACAGGTAAGCCATGTGGGCTTACTGAGGTCTGAAGAACTGCCTATGAGTTTAATCAGGCTTCCTGGAATCCAGGCTAATAGATGAGTCTATCCTAGAATCAGGAGGAGTCCCAGTATCCTCCTCCTGATTGCCTTCACCACCTCTCTGAGCAACCCACACAACCTCCAGCTGCCATTGGAGAAGCTGTGTGACCTCAAGTGAGACACGCAACCCCATGGGTCTGCCTCTTCATCTGTAATGTGTCAAAGTATTAAATCACAATTACATTTGTACCAACCTAATAGATCTGGATTATCTCTTTACTTCTTTCTAGCTCTGAAGGAAGTAGCAAAAGGTGGCAGTGCTCACTCCCTGAAGAGCACACAGAGAAGCATGGGAAATGATGTCATTCAGGGTCTGCCACTTACCCTCGTGAGCCTTTTAATCCCCAGGCCCACTGTTTGCCTACCTAGATGAAGAGAAAGGAGGATTTAATATTCCTGCAGTCAGCTCTAACTGAAGGGAGCAGGCTTCTCCCAGAAATTGGAACCCCTGTCACATTCATTAATTAACAGTTTGCAGGCAAGAGTGGACTCACGCAACCCCCACTGAGGGCAGGTAAATCATCAGAGTGACTTGCAGAGAAAAAGGGAGAGTCTCTCTTTCATTTAATATTATCATTTTTGTACATAAGCATCATCTTAGGTGTCGTACACAAGATGATAAAACCATTCAAGAATTCAATTGGATCAGAAAACTCGATGATTCAGAAACAAGATAATCTTAAGTGGGCTGTTTGGGCAAGAAGGCAAAACAGCTGGGCACCTAGAGGAACTCTGAGGTCCCAGGCTCTGAATTTTACCCAGCAATGCTGCGTAAAACCAGGTACACTGTCTGGCCCTGCTACCTGCTGCAGGTGTGTTCAAAGGTGGGTCTCCAGCATATGCATAAAATTGGCCAGAAGAAGATTTAGTAATTGCATTTTCTATGCATTTCAGATTTTCACAGCATCCATCTCATTCTCCTTGGACCTTCTCAGAAACAGGAGAAATATTAACAGTGCTTCACAGCAGTTCCTCACAGGAGCACAAGGACCAGCTCTTTCCCTATAAGGTAATGTAAATTCTAAAATTATATTCTGTTTGGAAAGAAAATACATTCCAGAGACTATTCAATGTGCTTTCCAAGTTTTGAACATAATTTAAACTTTATCTGTGAGACCTTTTAGACAAGTTATTTATCTTCCCCAACCTTCAATTGTCTTCCATAAAACAGGCACAGAAAGACACACCTTGCAGAGGCTGTGATCAGTAACAAACATGTCAAGTGCAGGGAACAATAGTTGGCATCGAGTTATATTATTACTTCCCTACACGACATCGTCACCAACTGCTCACAGCATGAACAGAGAATCATGCAGCCAGCTCTGAGGAGGTTGTCCCTGCTGGTGATATTTGTAAGAAAGACATTTGTAACAAGAACCTTTTGAGAAGATAATGTGGAAATAAATGTTATAGGAAGAGGGAGTAAAATGAGGCAGGTAATGAGTTGGGAAATGTCTCCCAACCTCTGAGTATCCTGGCTGTCCTGCACCAGTCCTCCCCACCCTATGGTCTCGTCCTGGACTTGTTAGTTCTGGTTTGTAACATGAATCTGTTGCCTTTCTTGAGGCACCAAATGGGACACCAGTGTTGAGGTCCCACCAAGATTGGTTTCGGAGGGGATCTTTTTTGACTTAGTGGGTGAAAGTCACTTCTCTGGGCTTCATTTTCTCTTTTACAAAATGAAGAAAATATAGTAGACCAGGTGCATTAAATTTTTTAAACAGTAGAGCCCTGCTTCTAAAGCAAAATGAAATGAAGAACCTCATTGTTTATAAGAATTCTGAGGCTGAAATGGCACACCCACCTGCTGAGCCTTCCCTTCACATCTCACTGCTGTGTCTCCTTGAGACAGCCCTGGAAGGCTGAGACTGAGAAACACAGCTGAAACCCACAGAACCACATCACCAAGGTCCTTTCTGACTCTAGGGTTCTGTGTGTCCATAAGTCCTGGGTCTCTGGGGGCGATCGTGGGTATTTTCAACCAGTGTTGGGAGGGGCATAGTGAGCCACCACTCCCAGTGTGTCAGGATTTGCTGAGCCCACCCTGACAGCCATGTGCACAATGAGTAATCTCTAAACACTGGAAAGAGAAACAAGTCACTCAGGTGCTTGCCTGACATAATGCCACATCCAAATGTAGGGCATCAGACATATGTGGACACAGAAACTAACAGATAAGCTTGGGGTTTCCAGAAATGTTCTTATTGTGTAGGTTTTCCCATTGAGAAAATCACTGACTTGCATGGTTGAGACATTCCGAGTTGTAGCTACCACTCTCCAGGAGAAAGTGGACAGATGAATGTATTCCTCTAGGCAAAAGAGGTCAATCAGAGAGAGCATGACAGCATCTGTTCTCAGGCGGCATGAACAGAGTTATGCAAGTCCAATGGGACATGTCCAGAGCTGAACTAAAAGGTCATGGCCCTTCTAGGAAAAAAAGGTGCTGTGGTTGACCAATCATAACAGCATAAATCCTACTAACTAGTGAGATATCGCTATCAGTTTGTAAAGCATGTGATTATTTAGAAATCTGAATCTGTGATTATTTAGTTCACATATTGAAACATTTGATGTAATCTTTTAAGAGCCTCAAAGGAACATTTTTTTTTTTTTTGAGACAAAGTCTCATTATTTCACTGAGGCTAGCAGGCAGTGGCATGGCCTCGGCTCACTGCAACCTCCACCTCCCGGGTAAGTAATTGAGACTACAGGCACACACATCCATGCCCGGCTAATATTTGTATTTTTAGTAAAACATGGTTTCACCTTGTTGACCAGGCCAGCCTCGAGCTCCTGACCTCAGGTGATCCAACTGCCTCAGCCTCCCAAAGTGCTACGATTACAGTTGTGAGCCACCTCACCCAGCCCTTATTTATAATATTATGATTCAGAGAGAGGCACAGCAGAGAGTCCTGGGAGTTTCTCTAGTCAAGTATGTACTAAAGCATAGATTACACACCTCAAAATTTCCATATCCCCCCAAGAAAGGACTCTGTGGCTGAATAATCATGGAAAATGCTACTTCAGGAAGAGTTCTTAAGTCATAGAATAGGATAATAGATTGAAGTGATAATTCAAGATGTCTATACTAGAAAGTTTCAAAATGAGTCATGGTCATAGTAAGGACAAGTTCAGAAGAGATGCCAGTGTGTCAGTTCCAATCACAACCAGGCTGAAGGCATGAGCCATGTTTTGTGTCACATATGGTCCCTTTGGACACAATAGAGAATTAATATGTAGGTTGTCTACATACCTTCAACGTTCTAATTTATGTACTGGCTACTACCAAAAAAAGCAGCTGGATAAATCAAAATCTCTTTTTCAAGGTATTTGAATTAAGAAACCCTGAAAAATTGTTCTGTTTCAACAGAACTAAAGGTGTCAGACCTCCATGAGGTGATGAGCCACAGCCAAAAATAAGCCAAATTCCTGAGAAAGCAGAGAAGATTTTAAAACAATAGGAAACTCCTTTGACAGAGAATTAGAAAGGAGCAGACAGCTGGATCCCAGAACAATCACAGTAAAAGCAGGGCTCTGGAAGAAAGATGCGTAAACTCCTGTTCTTGAGATCCTGAGCATCTCCTTAAATTCAGTACTCCGGGACTCCCTTCCACCCTCAGTTTCCATTAGATCTGCCTCCATTAGACCAAAGGAGGTGAGAGCAATAGGAGAACCAGGGTTGTCCCTGCCCACGCTAACACTAATCAGTAGATTTTATATGCACCAATTCCCACACATTAGTGGAGTTGTTAATTATCAGGAACTCGGTGAATCTGGTATTCTTTCCAGGTCTGGAATACTAGGACTTTAGTTTTGGCTCATGAGCCATGAAATCCCTAGGATCAAAATCCACAGGCAGCCATGAAGGAGTTTGTGGAAGTTCTGTGTCTGGTAGGACCTAATATTTCACAAACAAGTCCCTAAACCTGTTTCCAACCAGCCTCCTAGTGAGTCTTAGAATCGCTGACGGAGCAGCCTCCACCTACTCTCCAGGGGCGTCATCCCGGAGAGCCCAGCCCAGAGCAGTCAGTAGCTGGCAAAGGAAGTCATTCCACTACCCAAAAGGGAAGAATCAACCTGATCTGCAGAAAACTGATCCTACCGAACACTATGAACCCTTTCTATGAACTACCTCTGGAGTACAGAGGTAACACAGTACAAGGCGTACTGTCGAGAAGAACCAGTGTAGGATACAAGCAATGTCTTGCTGTTATGACATGATTGTTTAATCTTGGCTTCAGTACTTGCAGTTTGTTCTTTGACAAGTCACTTTAATTTCCTGAACCTCAGATAACACATTTCAACAGTGAAACACTCAACAGCTGTGCTAGGATTATTGGGAGGAATCAGTAAGTTAATGCAGAAACATTCAACACAGAATAAGGGATCCATGAACCTAATGGTTTCATAGAATCACCTTCTTTCACAGTCCCTCAAGAAAAGAAATTCAAGGCAGGTGATGACCTGGTTCATAGGAGAGCAAAAATAGATTATGAAAGTACTCACAAGGAATTGTTGAGACAGCTGGGAATGTCTGACTTGGAGAAGAGTCTAGGTAAAAGTAGGCATTACCACTATTTGTCTTAGAAGAGAGTTGGGTTTATCCAACACGCAGAGCCAAGCAGAATACTAATGCGTAGAAGGTATAGCAAGAGCAATCTGGCTTTCTTAACAGGCAGAATTTTCCAAAGGCAGAGTGGATAGAAAGCCCCCATCACATAAAGGGCCCTGCCTCTGACAACCCTGGAGGCACAATCACAGGACATCTGTATGAATGGCCCTGCCTGGAATCACAGAGGCACAGCCTAAGACGCCGCATAGAGGCAGCCCTGGAGCACACCTGGGCTAGATGACAATTTAGGGGAAGTATTCTAGCACAGAAAGACCCCTTATTGATCCCTTCCAGTCTTGATAGTCAAACATTCTCTGTTCTTAAAGAAAACATCCCAGATAATAATAAGCAAGTGAATTTGAAGAAAGACTGCACCAAGGTCTGGTTTCAGGTGGGATGCAGAGATAGGTAAAAGCTCTCCATAGTAACTTCCAGTTGTGGACTCTTAAGATGGTAAATACTTTTTTCTCTCTCTGAGCAGAGGCTGGGACATTTACTTAACACGTGACACTGAAGAAACCAAAGATCTTCAGTTCTGAAATCTCAATTTCATTCTCATCTTCAGGTCGACCAGCCATATTGAGCTTATGGCCAAAAGAAATCTTAGCGCTGTGACAGAGTTTATTCTTGTAGGCTTCACAGATCACCCTGAACTGGCAGTTCCTCTCTTCCTAGTGTTTCTCAGCTCCTATCTTGTCACTCTTCTGGGGAATGTAGGCATGATTATTCTAATCCAAGTGGATGTCCAACTCCATACCCCCATGTACTTCTTCCTGAGCCACCTTGCCTTCCTGGATGCCTGCTATGCCTCAGTAATCACCCCTCAGATTCTGGCCACACTGACCACAGACAAGTCGGTCATCTCCTATGGCCACTGTGCTGCACAGTTCTTTCTCTTCACCATCTGTGCAGGCACGGAGTGTTACCTGCTGTCAGTAATGGCCTATGACCGCTTTGTTGCCATTAGCAATCCACTGCGCTACAACATGACCATGACTCCAGGTACATGCAGGGTCTTATTGGCCATGGCCTACATCTGTGGGGTGTCAGGGGCCATTCTGCGTACCACGTGCACCTTCACCCTCTCCTTCTGTGGTGACAATCAGATCAACTTCTTCTTCTGTGACCTCCCACCCCTGCTGAAACTTGCCTGCAGCAGCATGACACAAACAGAGATTGTCATTCTCTTTTTTGCAAAATTCATGTTCCTAGCCAATGTCATGATTATCCTGATCTCCTACATGCTCATTATCAGAGCCATTTTGAGGGTGGAGTCAGCAGGTGGGCAAGCCAAGGCCTTCTCCACCTGCACTTCCCATCTCACCACTGTTGTCCTCTTCTTTGGGACACTTGCCTTCATGTACCAAAGAACTAACTCTGACAAATCCTCAGAGGAAGACAAGATAGTGTCTGTCTTTTACACTGTAATCATCCCTATGTTGAACCCCTTGATCTACAGTCTGAGGAACAAAGATGTAAAAGCTGCATTCAGAAAAGTCATTGGCAAATTCCAGTTTCCAAGGAATGTAGCTTTCAGCGAGGGTCCTTCATCGTGACCCATCTTTTCTACAGGTCTTCATATTCCAGTGGGCATCAACACCAGATGCTTTCCCCCACCAGTGTACAGTAGGTAGCTTTCTTCCTACTGCAGCTGGAAGTGTGCAGGAACTACCCATCCTTAGAGAAAAATACAAGTTTCATGATGTTTGTTTGGATGACTTCCTCTCCCTCCATTTTCTTCCCCCCTCTCTCTTTAGCCCTCTCAAACTTTGTGGGTTCTAGTGCTACTCCCTGGCACCACAGAAATAGAAAGTAGCATAGTCATAAGTGAACTGACACCACAGCTTACTTCCTAACTCAGCCATGGTTGGGTTTCTCAGTTGCTCTTACTTATTCTTTTGTTACTGTGCTCATTGATACTGACTTTTACTCTTTGTAGAAAATTATAGCTATAAATTGTACTAATTGAAGAATAAGGTGTTTTTTGTGGTATGGATAACCTGCCAACTCATTATGAAGTGAATGGAAAGAACCTGTGAACCCAGCGACATTTCTAATCGGAAAAAATTACAGTAGTTCAGGAAAGGGTGCTTTCTTTAGGCTACTCTTCCTCTAATGTCTTCCTAAATGGTTTCTGATATCTGCAGGACTATAATTTCTTCTTAAGTGACAATTCTCTAGATTCCAAATCTCCAAATTCTTTATTTTTTCCTCCTCCTAAACACAGTGCCTGCCTCATTTTAATTACTGCTTTCAGACTCATTCCCAGGGTCTACAAACTCAACAATGACAGATCTGTAGCAAATAGTCTCAGTTGATACTACTTTCTCAGGTAAAAATAGTCTCTATGATAATAGAAGTAAGTAATTACTGTCCACAGCAGAAGGTGAACTCCTTGAGGATAGGGTCATAATGCTTCACTTAATACTTTCTTCTATATTGCTGCTTCTGATACACTGAAAACTACTATATATTTATCAAAGAAATTAAAGAGACAAATAAATAGAAAGGTATCCCACATTCATGAATTGGAAAACTTAATATTACTAAAATATTCATTTTATCCAAAGCATTCTACAGATTCAATGCTATTCCTATCAAAATCACAATGGCATTTCTTAAATAAATAGAAAAATAGAAATCATATATGAAATAATAAAACACCTAGGACAGCCAAGGCAATCTTGATAAAGAATAAGCTGGAGGCATCACATTTTCTGATTTCAAAATATGTTATGAAGTTATAGTAATTTGAACAGTATGGTACTGGCATAAAAATATACATATACAGCAATGGAACAGAATACACAGCCCAGAAATAAACTCACACATATATGGTCAACTGATCTTTGACAAAGGTGCCAAGAATACACACTGGGGAGAGAGACCATCTCTTCAAAAACTAGTGTTAGGAAAACTGCATGTCCATATACAAAAGAATGGCATTTGATCCTATATTTATGCATACACAAAAATCAACTCTAGATAGATTAAAATCTTAAATGTAAGTTTTTAATTACATTTGAAACTGTAAAATTCCTTAAAAAGAATAGGAGAAAAACTATGACATTGGTCTTCACAATAATTTCATAAATAATAACACCAAAAACACAAACTGATAAGGTTAAAGAATCAGACTCCAGGCTGAACTCCAAGGACCTGACCTCATAAGCACTTCTGCCTCTGCCACAATATACAATGAATAAATAAGTAAACAAACAAACAAGTCAGGAAGCCAACACAACTTCTGGCTTCAAGACTCTGTTTCTGCTGAGAGAGGACAATGAATGCTCCATATCCTACCTTTTTAAAACAAAGTTAGTTTTAAAAAATAAAATCCAAAATTGATGAGTGGTGCTACAACAAACCAAATATCTTCAGCACAGGAAAGAAAATAATCATCAGAGTGAAAAAGCTACCCAAAGCATAGGAAAAATATTTGCAAGCCATATGTTTAATAAGAAGTTAATTGCTAAAATATATATATGAAACTCCTGCAACTCAATTGTAATAAAATAAATAATCCAATTTAAAGATGAACAAAGGAACTGAATAGACATTTCTACAAAGAAGACCTACAAATGGCCAGCAGATATGCTCAGCATCACTAACCATGAGGGAAATGCAAATCAAAACTCCAATGAGATATTACTTTGCACCTATTATGAAGGCTATTACCACAAAAAAGATAACAAATGTTATTGTTGAGAATGTACAAAACAACATTCTGTAACAATTGTTGAGAATGTACAAAAATTGAAACCCTTGGACATGTTCCAGTGTCCAGGAGGATGGAACATGTTTGTGGAAATGTTAAATGGTACAGCCACTATGGAAAACAGTAGAGCGCTTCCACAAAAAATTAAAAATAGAATTATCAAATGATTCAGCAGTCCCACTCCTGGGCATATATCCAAAAGAGTTTAAATTAGGGTATCAAAGGAAGATCTGCACTCCCACATTCATTGCATCATTATTCACAATAGCCTAAATATGGAAACAATCCAAGCATTTATCAACAGATGAATGGGTAAACAAAATATTGTATAGACAAAAAAGAAATATTAGTCAGCCTTAAAAAAGGAAATCTTACCATTTGCTACAGGCTGATGAACCTGGAAGACATGTACTTAGTCACATAAGTTAATCACAGAAGGAAAATACTGTATGATTCCACTTTTAGGAGAGGTATCTAAAATATTTAAACTTACAGAAGCAGAAAATACAATGATGGTTGACACAGCACGAAGGGAAGGGGAAATGGGCAGTTGTTTTTGAGTGGATATAAAGTTACAGTGATAAAAGAGGAATAAGTCCTAGAGATCTACTGCACAACCTAGAACCTATAGTTAACAATACAGTGTTGCACACTTGAAAGTTTATTAAGAGGGTAGATCTCATGCAATTGTTCTTCCACAGGAAAGAAAAAGGGACAAAAGTAAACTTTTGAAGGTAATGAATATGTTTGATATTTTTATTTTGGTGATGGTATTATATGTAAGCATATGACCAAACTCATTACATTTTATATAGTAAATATGTATAGTTTTGGGTATATCAATTATACCTCAGAAAAGTATAAATTAATTCATTGCTGCTTCAGAAAAAATCTTAAAGAGCATTGTCATAATTTCATTTGCATGTTATGGCAATGCTAAGCATTGAGTAATAAAATATTATTAGTGTCTATTTTACCTTCTCTACACAATTTCTTAAAGAAATTGTTTACCAGGAGTGTAAATGCAGAAATGCATAGAATTTATAATAAAAGTGGACTTGCATCCTCTCTGCTATTTAATAACTGTGCAAATTACCAAAACAAATCTACCTTCTCAGAACATCAGTTTTCTCAAGTCACAAAAGAATATTTCCTACCTGAAAGAATTATTACAAAAATTAAAGATTATGAAAATTAAATTTTAAGTTACCATTAGTCAGAATTGGTTAGGTTTTCTGTAGCAACAATCAACTCCATAAAAGATTTTATTGTTCACAATGCTTGACTCAGGCAAATTGACAGGTGGCTCTGCTTCATGTAGTCATTCAGGCACCCAGGATTAAGAAGCTCCACCATTTTAATAGCTTTACTGCCTGGAACATGCAAACTTCTCAGTCACCAGAGCAGAGGATAAAAGACTACGAAGTTACACATGGACATTTACTGCTTAAGCACATTGGTTAAAACTAATCACATGGTCCTGCCTCACTAAAAGGAGCCCATTAAAGATAAAAGAAAAATGTTATATTGGATAAGCAATACTGACTGTCCTAGGGATTATCTGTAGTTACAATTATTAACGTTCCAAAAAAATCATGAATAATTAGATTACTTTATTATTATTCATTTTATTTCCTATAAATCATTCCTCCCATATTTGGGGAAATTGTTGTTTTTCCTGTACAAAAGCTTATTTTGTATTGGCAAAATTTACTTGTTTTTGGATACCTCAGATGGTACTGGAGAAGATTTGGAGAAAAGCAACTTTAGGGGTAGGGAATAAAGTCTTCTGTTTTGGGTATGTTTTACACACACACACACACACACACACATACAAACTACCAGCCAACTGAGAATTGGCCTTTCTTAATCTCTCATCCTTCTAATTCTTTGTCCAGGGGCTTCTTTCTTTTCTTTCTTCACTACTTCTTCAGTTCATATGGCAGGGGTCATGGCCTTGTACAAAATATAGGTTTCATATATTTTAGTTTTACTCAGTATACATTTTTTCATATTTTTGGATTCAGCTAGTAAAGTGTTTTAGGCTACATTGTATTTCACTAATAATATCCCCAGAGAAGGACTCTGATTAAATGAGTTTGGTTTAGATGTCAATGCATGTTTCAGTGAAATGTGGCCTGGTAGAAAGAACATTGTGTACAAATTACTACTCCAAAAGTATCCATGCTGCTGACACATTGCATGCACATGCCCACTCCTAGCCTGAGAACCAGTCCAGTGAGCCATCCCTGGCAAAGCCACACCACTACTACTACAGTTTAACCACTGAGACACTCACAAACTCTACTAACATGGCTTATAGCTGAAGAAGCTGCTAAAGCATACTACTGTGCTTACCCAAAATCAAAGCCAGTGTACCCCTGCCCAATTGACATCCTAGGACCCATCTATAGCAATAATTCTTTCCTTATGAAAACTACTCCAGTAAATTGAAAGAGGTAACTATTCCACCAGATGCACTGATAATGGAGCAGCATGAGAAACATTAAAAAGTTAAAAGAGAAATGATGCCTCCAAAGAATCACAATAATTTTCCATTAGCAGACCTCAAAAAAAAAAAAGAAAATTTATGGAATGCCAAAAAATTCAAAATAATAATCTTCATGAAATTCAGTGAAATATGCAATTCAACAAAATAAGGAAACAATTCATGATCTGAGTGAAAAAATTAATGAAGAAATAGATGTCATAAAAAAGGTAACAAAAAAGAAATCTTGGATGCTAATAAAGTTTGGCTTTGTCCCCACCCAAATCTCATCTTGAACTGTAATTCCCATAATCCCTGCATGTTGTGGGAGGGGCTCAGTAGGAGATAACTGAATCATGGGGATGGTTACCTCCACGCTGTTCTCAGGATAGCAATTGAATTCTCATTAGATATGATGGTTTTATATGGGGGTTTCCCCCTCTTCACTCTGCACTTCTCCTTGCTGCCACCATGTGAAGCAGAACATGTTTGCCTCTCCTTCTGCCATGATTGTAAGTCTCCTAAGGCCTCCCCAGCCCTTTGGAACTGTGCATGAGTTCAACCTGTTTCCCTTATAAATTACCTAGTCTCAGGTATGTACATCCTCATAGCAATGTGAGACTGGACTAATATAGATGCAAAGAATTCAATGAATCAAATCAAATCATATAAACAAGTGAGAGCTTCAACAGTGGATTAGATCAAGCAGAAGAAAGAATTTATGAATCTGAATACAAGTCTTTTGAAATAATCCA